TCCCCATGAAAATTTAATCCGAACAACTGCGCACGCTACGCTAATTACTCCGTTTTCAGTTAATTATTCCGAGTTGAGTAATTCAGTTTGCACCAGGTGATACCAATGGTAGCGGAATAAACGAACAGCGACCGCGGATTGTTCATTTCCAATGTGCCAGGCTAAACGCGAGCGTGTACCTCTTGAAAACAAAATTGCTACCCCGGGGCGGGGGCGAATAAGAAAAGTTCGAAGGCAGGAGTGTACGCGTTTCCAGCGTCGAGCTTTTCGATGAAATTCCCGTCGCAAATTACCCGGTAAATAATTCCAGAATTTCGTTCCCAAGCTGAGAAGAATCGTCATTGTGTGTAGGTAGAGATATCGTAGTCGCCATGGAACCTCTGACATCGACGCGGCTACGACACTGCGCGCGTACATAAATTACAAATTATGCGGAAGAGATAAAGGTGACCGAGCACGGGGCCACGAACAGCCATATATACGTGCATGCTGCTCGTATCTACACACGTATTATATATACACGTACCGCAGGGGATAATTTCAAAGGCAGCCGCGTTTTACCTACGATTTAACTGGTCTCTTTATTATTCGCGTTTCTCAAAATGGCTCTCGCTAAACGAGCAAAAATCAACCTCCGAGACGTTTACCCAGTTTTTAACGCCTCGCGGACAGTCAGCGATATTAATTCCCCGTCGTTTCTTTATACGAGCAAAATTTCATTCGCGACGACGATGTTTACGTAAAAGTTCCTTTACGTCGGACGTCATAAATATTTCCCCGGTAAGTCTCTTTCCAATAAAATTACCCGATAACTTTCCGTTTAGATTTCCAGTCGAGTGATCCTGAATTAAATAACTGTGTATCGATAAAAATTATATGTTTTCGTACCCGTTGACGCGAGAGGAAATTTTTGTATAGTAATTGAAATCAGGCTTTTCGTATGCCAACAAGAGTTGAGTGATCAATTTCTGGAGTATATGTACGAGGAGTACTCGATCAGCGAACGAGAAGGTTACCGTATTTGCATCGCCTAAATTGGATCGCGTTGATGAATAGTTGAAATTAGCACAGTAATGTCATTTATTGCAAGTGCTTTCAGCGTCGCTGTGACGATTGGTCTATTAAGATCATGCAGCTAGGTGTAGATTTAATATTTTACACGTGTATGACATAATAAAGTGTCTCTATAACATACTCACGAAAGAACCTTTGAGTCTACATTGAATTGCATTTGAATTGACCATTTTCTCTATCACAAAATTCCGGTTTTATACGCTGTACTACCTACCACCGTTAAGATATCTCTAAGGTTGCCCGCCCTTCGTTCGCAGGAGCCTTTTAAACAGTTTGGTTATCAAACCTCCCTTCTGTAAAGTTGCTACAAGAAATCTAGACGCATAGAAGTTGGTTTTTACTGTAACTCGGCAACGTTCCGCGAGCAGAGCAGCGTCGGATACAAAAGCATAGCTAATTATTACGAAAAGTAGATCTTCAGAGGCGATCTAAGAATCATTTAAAACTAATTAAGCGCCGTACGGAGCACGAGGTTTCCGTTAGGGAGCGAAGTGCCCCGGGGCAACGAGGAAGTTAATAATGCCAAAACGAATAACCCGGGGAGAAACGCTTCCGTTAATCGCTACACTTCCGTGAAAAAGCTTTGATTAAAATACTGTTAGCGTTGCGAGGCATGCGCCTGGCTGAAGTGCTGACGCAAGTTTATGCAAAAATTTAAAAAAGTGTACACGGTACACTAGGATTGGAACGACTGCTCTGTGATGCGACAAAATTCGGGTCAGTGGTCAAAGAAAATTAGCACTTCACCGAATAGGGCAAAAATCTAGTCGACGGGAATGGGAGTGCCTACATAAAACAGTAGAGCAACTAGGCGAGCGAACAAAAATGCTTGTACATCGTTATTCATTTTTAATCAACCAAAAATATGTACTTGTCGATTGATAAAAAAATTTAGAAAATCGCTGTTCGTTAATATCTGCTCGTAGTTTGCATGGCGTACCAGTGTGTTTTAGATGGCCAGTCCGAAGAGAGCGTGCTGGACGCTTATGGTCGCCCAGAGGTTAAACTGGGATATAACCGTATATGTACATGCCTAAAGTGCGGACCAGTTTTGCCAAGTTTATGCTTTGAGAGCTTAGGAAGGTACCCCCACTTCGTCTCCGTTTTCGCAGTTCGAAAACATTGGGCGATGTCGCGTTATATGCACGCGCCACCCACATAAATATAATACTATATGTAGAGGGGGGGGGGGCAAAGCCGCCCATGGCTCCCACCAATGGCCACCGGTAGTATAGACTTACCTCCACTAAAACGCTAAGCACCGTGAAAGTCCCCCAAGAGTCTTTTCCAGAAAGCGATGTAAATGAAGTCGATATTTCCGTGCTTTGGCTGCGTTAATAATTTTCCAGGGTTACCCTACGGTTAAAGGAGAACCGGATTAAGAGTCTGGGAATATTTTAAAAGTACTATATTTATTATTCGTCTGGCGCATCACTTTAACAGACGATCATGCGTCGTTTATATACAAATGTGTACACTCTGTACATTTTGTCCTATAAGATAAACGTTAACACGACGTAACCTGTACAGAAGCGAGAATTTTCGATTACTAACCTCTAAGTTCCTGACAGCTTTACAACGTATTTGCTTATATCAGTTACAGTTAACACGCACGTGGTTCGCACATTTTTATATGTCCCTCTTTTATTCTCGTTCGATCGTTTAACATTTAATTGACTAATTTAATTATTCGTCTTATCGCGTGCACGATGGCGGTGCACACGAACCGCCGAAATTTCATTCGTCCCGGAAGCCTGTGATGTCGTTTCGATAGATCGATCGCTCGATAAACCTCGCGTAAGCAGAAACGATGCGAATGTACATACGTGTACGAACGTGTTCTTCGAAATCATAACAGATTATTGTACGAAGAAAATATTCGCTGTTACGCGATCCTGGGACCCCGAGAAACAATTCAGGACGCCTTTCGGAAAATTCGCGGGAACGGTAAAGAAACTTTTTTTTTTGTTCGTCAAGACGATTTTTTAAGTCGACGACGCGACGATCGCCTTCCCGATCGTCACGATTCGAATCGAACATGCTCGAGCTGAAGCGCGTTACCTATTATAAATGCATTCTTTCGACTCTCTCGACTCGGTGCGCGCAAACACGTTTACATCCTCGACTATCAGTGGAAACACCGTGGAAAAATAGTTTGCCTAATATCGGAATATCGTACTTATTTCATACGTTAACGTATTCGGCGATCGTGCCGCGCAATCGATACCTCGTGTACAAAAGGGGTTAGACTAACAATAGGATCAACCTGAATATCATCGACCGTGATACGGATTCACGTTCCCGGATGAGAAATCTACTTACTCGTCGGCGAAAACAATCAACCGCTCCAAACAGCTTTGCACGTTTATACAAAGTATCTTCTAAACACTTCACACGCGTTTACTTTATCTCGCAAACAACATAATCACTCGTAACCTGTCAAACTGCAAATGGCGACGCCACGGCCGACGCGCCATCTTCTAATGAAGTTGCATCCGGATCCGATATGTTTCGTTTGGATTTAACTGCTGCCGGGGGAAAACGTCCTAGAGAAACATTAACCGTCGTGTTCGTGCTTCGGAACCGTGCTTTGTGTCGCAAGGTCACGTTCGGAACGAGCCTATTGTTCGCCGATTTTAACGATGCCGTAATTAATTAACGAGAACGCGATGAAGCGGGGTTGTGGTAAATACCAAGCTAACCACGTGTTTGTAAATGGCGCGAAACGAGCGTCGTCTTACCGATTATTTTCGTTCGTATTCGCGGATGAAAAAAATAAATCAAGCATTCTGTTAGTGCAACTTCGTTTTAGAACAATTATGTTTTAAGTACCTGGGTTTCATTTATCTTGGCCACTTTAATGCCAAAATCGTAACATTTACGATACTGTGCGTACGTAAATTCATATTGAAAGTTCTGGGTTGATATTTAAGACACATTTATGAAACCAACCGACGAACTCTAAGTTTATTTTTTCGTAGCTGCGTAACTCGAATGGCCAAAATGAACGAAACACTTCGTATCGTATCGGCGTGTACGAGGTGACATTTTATAAAAGTTTGATTTTCGCGGTGCGTCGCCGTACGCGAATACGAAATTCCATTTTTATTCAAAACGACTATTCACGTAACGTAACAGGAGTCATAGACATAACGATTTGTTCTGCGAATCGGTTGCAACCATAGTCCAAATAGTGTCGTCAACGACAAACGCACTAACTATTACGCGAAAAATCGTTACGCCTGTGATCCGTATAACAGTGACACTTGCAATCCCAGTGAAAACCATAACGGTAACAAGATTTTCAAATATATCGTAACGTACAAAGGAAACAGCGTGTACGGAACGTGCCCCATCCAATCGATAACAATTCCCAATCGAACAATAATACAACTGATGACTTTGGTCCATGATCCAATCGATCCAACGCGCAAAAGAAACACTTCGGTCCAGAAGTAACCACTAGAAAGGTATGGTAGCCCCGATGTCCAGATCCATCGATCGTTCCGTCATATCGATCGACCTGACAACGCAACGGAGAGCCCCGAGAGACGATCTCGAGCCGTCCAGCGAACTTTGCGTGCCCACGGTCCTCCTCAGCGGTCGCGCGAACCTTCTGACCGTCCTGTTCGGCCAGGTTCGATAAAAAGGCTCCTGGTTGCAGCGTTTCAAGGCACTCCAGATAACCGACGATCTTCGCGGCGGCATGTGAGAATGTGAAGGGCAACCGCAGTGCTGCCAGGCCAAGGTCGGCGCTTTGCATCGGAAGATAGGCGCCCTGAAGGCCTCCGGAGGCCTCAGAATTGGAAGATCGCTAATTTTCAAAGCCACCCCCGCTCGCAGCGGCTTCGAAACCGAAACACCGTCCATTGACTCTTTTCTGTCGCGTCCAGCCGACCGTACCACCGCGACATCGTCGTGCAACGTCTTCGCATTTGTCCCGATAAACTCCGTCCCGGATACCCCGTTCGATTTCGTCCCCTCGATTTCACCGATATTGTCCGGAAGCGACTCGGTCCCTTTTATTGCGTCGACATCCGTCGGCCTCGATACGTCGTTCCGCTTTACTGAACCGGTTGACCGCGCAAACCCGCCCGAAGACGCTCCATCGTCCTGATCCGAATAGTCCAATTGGTCGGGCGGATGGATCGCGCCGTTATACGTGGATCAGGAGGACGAGTTCGCCTCGATCGTCGAGCTGGTCGAGGCGTCGTCGTCCAAAGAGCTCTGCGTGGCCACGGTCACTTTGTTCCCGTTGCTCTGTCTCGTTAACTGACGGTCGGTGGCCGTCTGACGGGGATGGCGTCTCTTGTAGGGCTCCCAATCCCCAGGACCCCGGCGTCAGTGAGTCGCGATCACGTCCGGAGCGCTCTTCGTGCTCTCTATGCTGAACGGTCGTCTCTGGTCGACCTCTATCACCGCCTCCGCCCTGTACCTGGGGTCGCCCGCCATCTGTTGGGTGCACTTTGGCGTGCCAGAGTGCGGGGTGCTCGACGTGTTGCTAGATCCGTGTCCAGACCCGTAAATGGAGGCGTACCGCTCGCCAGAGCCGGCCGTCGCTTGCCTCACGAATTTCGGTGATCGACGATAGGCACTGTTTTCTCTGCTGGGTTTCGGACTCTGATACCTCTGGTACGACGGATAGTCCGGCGGATCCGTGTACGGGGACTCTTGATGCGGGGGCAGCGGGTAACTGGACTCGTGGGTCGACCAGCCGGGCGGGGCTGGGATAGGATTGTGCTTTGGACAGACGCCCATGCTGCCGTCCCGACCTCTGGACGCTGGACTGCAACCGGAACACTGGGTGCTAGGATGCTGAGGACTCTGCTCGGAAGACTGGTGCGTGCTCTGGTGAGAAGGCTGAGAGCTCTGACGCGACAGCGACGGACTCTGGTGGTGGTGCAAGTGATGATGACGATGATGATGAAGATGACTGTTGGTCCCGTTTTGTGAAACGCTCGGCCCTCGGACGCCAAAGGTTGTGAAGCCTGGTGGCATCACGTTGTCCGGGATTCTGGCCTCGAAGAGGCTCTCCCGCGTCTGGCAGGAGTTGTCGCGCATCTCTGGCTCCTCGTTCGACTCCTGCAACCGTTCCTGCGTGGCGTTGCTGACGTTGTTGCTCTGGTGGATGTCGTTCATGTCCCTCGCGTTGTAGCCCATCTCCAACACCAGATCCTTCGTGTACTCTTGCGCTATCAAGGTGGTGGGTGGCAAAAGTTCCTTGCTGGGCACCACTTCCAGGCTCGGAGACTCGCTACCCCGGTCCCCGATGTCCGTCCTCGAAGACGAGATCGGGCAGGGTGTTGCCTTGCGACCCAGCTCGTCCAATCGATTTTCTCTGGACTGCCTGATGTGTTCCTGGGAGAAGACAAACGAATTCTTTCAATTAGTCGGGTAAATATTGAAGCTTCAACGGCGCGTGACCGCCAGGAGTCACGACAGTATCTTGCTGGCTCTGATTGGATTGTTCGAAGCCCCGAACAGTTTTGCAATCGCGAACCACTGCCTGTGCAAACTCTAATTTACGATGTAAATTTTTTAGGAAACACTGTACAAACGATTCTGTATTTCTGAAACGTTTATAGTAATGAAAATAATCTCTGTTGTATTTTCTATTTTGTGGATCGAATAAAGAACGATCAAACACTCCTTGCAATATTGACGCATCGCTTGTTAACTTTCAATTAAAATTACGAATCAGTGCCGGACCGAGTACCGAAATCTTTCGCGCTCGCGCACGTACGTTTCTGTAATTGAAATAGGAATTACCGTGTTGTTCTTTGCGCAGTTAATTTTCGTAATGTATTGTTAAATTAGTTTTGCATCGAGCATAATGTAATTTGCATGATAATTGGAATACCGGACGTTCTTGCGTTAAGAAGTTTCCACGTTGAAGCGGAAAAATATGCATGCCCAGCGAAACGCTTGGATAAATATGATTATAGCTCGTTAGAATATTAACGAGTAAAGTTTTACGAGACTGTAACAATTTCTCCTAACCAATTACCGCGTGTCTCAATCAGATCGTTTGGACGAAATTAATTTTCGTTCTATCCAACTTTTTTTCTTTATAAAAACTTCCATTCGTAAACGTTTAATATTCCTGGGTCTGTTTCGATTCATCGAACCCTAAATTTTAAGCTCGATTTAATCCGAAAAGCGCTCCTATTATTCGTATCCTCTGCTTGTCAGTACTTCACTATTCTCCGTGAATGGGTGAAACGAACCGTGGGCCTATTTCGTACCCGTACGTTATCAGTCTTTTTTCCTGCGTGTAGCGCGAATGTTAGCCACGTATGGTCGTACGTGACAAATACGAGCCGTGAATCGAATCGAAATCCTGTAGGTTCGTCGCGTGATTGAAATTCCACGAGTACCTTGCAACGCGACTGGCACATAGCACGCAAAAACCGTCGGTTGTTCGTGATTTTTCGATATATATATATGTATATATATTTTATACATATATATGTATTTTTTTTTTCTGTTTCGTTGTGCGTATGATCCTCGAGACGACGCGTCTTCGATGAATGTTCGAGCCATTCGTCAGCCTTTAGTTTCGACGTCCGTTGTAATGGTCTTTCGCGATGAAGTTACAATTTTAATGGCGCATAAAACGGAATCGCGTGGAATACTAGCCAGATTTTGACACGGAGGCCGAGAAATTCGTGGATAAATACTTCCACCGTAAACGGGACTTTAATGGCCGGTAATAAAGACGTTGAATCATCGTACGTCACGTTACTGCGGGACCTGTAAAGTTTTCGATTCGCTGATATACCGTTCGGTCGTAAACGTCAGGGGGTGCTCGTTGCCTCGAACGCCACGATCACCGACAGATTCAACGAAACTTTTAATCTAGCATCCTATCAATTTTCCACTCGACTGTCACAGTTACGAGCTCAAGCGATTGTTAAAGGTAGGTTCACTTACCCGAATGATTCGATGATCCCTGACGAGCTTCCGTACGCAATTGAAAACGAAGGCGAAGCTCATGCCGAACAAGATCAGGGAGAAAACGATGAGGATTATAACGATATGCTGGGAGTCGATCAACCGTGACTTTTTAGTCTGCAAGAATAAACACAATAAAATTGTTTATTAACCGTTGTATACGCAATCGTTGTTTCCTCGGTTTAGTATCCATGCGTTCTTCACGAGTGATTACGAGTTACGAATTTTATCCATTGATTTACGGAACGACTTGACATTATACGTTACGATCGATGCGATCCCACAGTTTTCCAACGGATCTCTACGCGTCTGGTATTTAAATAATTAAATAAAAACCGATCGAGCGTGCAAATGCCAAAACGTGACGGCAGCGAAAGGAACTGTCGCGCGTAACTCGCTAATCATCGGCCACGGTATGCAGAACTTTCACAGAGAACGGATATGTGCCCGTGTTGACAATAGATGACAAAGTACACATTCATCGGGAACAGTTACCGCGGGCACGATATAGGAAGTTGCGCATAACGTAGCAAACCGAATCTCATTCTCTTCTCGCCCTTTGTGTACCTCGTTTCTCGCGTTTGCTGGCTGCGAAGCCGCATTAAATACCCTGCTAAAATTTACAGAGCCGGTGCTATGGAATGCGCCACGCCCGCGTGTATGTAGATCAAAATTCGCGGATGAGATTCCTGGCATAGCATTAACGTTTCAATGCACACAGATGGAAACAAGACGCTCTTTTTCTCTGTTTCCTTCCGGTCCTTTTTATCCGTGTCGCGTCTACGTGACGGTATCTGGTCGGTTGTAACTATGGCAATGCTATATCGTCGGTCACTAAATTCGAAAATCCTCCCACTCCAGAACTTTTATGAACGGGGATAAAAATAACTGGAATAGTTAAACGATCGGGAGAATTCGGCGGGAATGACAGGGACCAGAAGCGTGTCAGCCATTTATTAAAATCGATTAGGAAACGAACGTAGACTCGATGGCTCGTAATCCACGACGACTCGCAGAGAACGATTTTATCCTTTAAGGGTTGATTTCGTCTCCTAAAAATGAATGCACGGGCGACAAATTTTACAACTTCTTCAACTTCTCTCGTTAGAATTATTTTGTTCAAAATCGTACCGTCGCATCGATCCATTTTAACTTGATAACGACTGGGTTTTGCTTGGCCTACCGCGTACAAAAATTTAACGTTAATTTTCTCGGTTCACCGGCAAAGGAGTACGAAAAATAATAATGGCTACCATTCGTTTTAACTAGCCAGTATACTTGATGTTCGTAAGTGGATAAAAACGGTGTTTGGACGGTGCTCTTCCATAGTTCTACGAACGACTCGAAAGCTGAAACGCGAAGCACCGTTTCGCGATAATAGTAATAAGAACAATGGCGCGTAATGAGCACATTTGGCGGTGAGTCGGTACAATTAACAATATAGACGGTGTTATCGTGTTACGGGCTTTTGCTGTGGTTCTCGCGGCGCGTGCACCGTACTCAAACGTCTCACGAATGAGATTTCTGTGCATTAGACGGTTACACGTAGCGGGAGCTGAACCCCGGTAGTGCGTGGATACGAAAGGATGGCCCGAAGAGGGAGCGGGAAGCGCCGGTTGAGGGGTTGAAAATGCTTCTTTCTGCTTCCGTAAGCCCGAGAGGTTTATTGTTATGCTTATATGGCCGAGTACACACTCGACAGACGTCGCTCGTGTTTGCGACAGTCCGTGCAAAAATACATCTGAAACGGCCACTGCATTCGCAACGAGGTAGGACACTTTTGATGCGTTCCTACGCTGCTCGACGACGGATTTATTCCGCTCTGAATGCGTGGCAGCACGATATTTTTCCCTCGATCCTTCTCATATTTAATACTTCGATTCTGTCCGGTTCCAATTCCTAAATCGTTCGTCTCGTTTCGCGATCATCAAACTTCAAAGTTTATAGACGCGAATAATATTTTCACGAGCCATCGTCAAAAGCAATTCACGCTCGTTCGTAACATGCTCTTCTTTCGTTCCGAATAAGAAATTAATTTTTTTATTTTACCAAAACTGCATCAAGTCGTTAAGAGGGTACAATAATTCGTGGCCCGTACTAACAATACTATTTTCCGTTGCATCGAAATATACTCGACTCGACAATACCGGGTCGTTATACCGCGTATAACGAAGGTCTTCTTTCGTGTACCAGGAATATATATATATTTTTTTTTTTTCGTTTGCGGCGCGCGTCCTGCTTTGTCGGTTTGGTCGATACTTCCGTTCCCGCGTTCTTCGCGTCCGCGCTTTTTGTCGAAATTAATGACTCCGGCCCCGGAAACGATACGCCTGTTCAACGTCAATATCCGCGCGACGCTCTCGGGTCTTCGATCGAGTCAACGGAAGTTTATACCCATCGACGTTTCACCAGCGTAACGGGGGTGACATCAAACTGCCCGTCAAATAAGTAAAACGGACACGCGACGTTCCTGCCCTTTGCTTCTCCCTTAGGTTTGCTGGAAGATCAACAGGAGACCCCTTTGAACAGTCTTGCGGGTCGTGTGGGCACAGATAATATTTACTCGCCATCGCATTAAATTTATGACAACTAAAGTCAACGATTCCGACGACTCCACGGACCTTGGAGCTCGAAACGTCTCGAGTCCACGATAGAAAGCCTGACAGAAACCTTTAGTTTGAAATATAAAAATTCATTACTTTTCCAGCGATGTAAATGCAGTTTCGACTCCACCCTCGGTCGTAATTTTTTATTCGCCTTAAAGGATCCTCCCGTTGCGTCGCGAGATTCACGGAGAGCGGGACGAGAAAGGGATCATTAACCAAGGAAAGTTTTAAACTCGCGGAACGCGTTAAATTTTCACTGGGAAACGTTCGTACTTGGTTTCAAACGATTTTACGTGCGCGCCCGTAAATTTATGCGCGATCAGAATTCCACGTATCGCGAGAGAATCCATCGCGGCGTTCTGTTTTACTCAAACCGGCTGTTATCGAGTTTCCGCGAGCGCGAAACGTTCTAGGCTGACAAAGAAAAACCTTGTTTTCCGCGTTCCCGATCGCAGCCTTGTCAACTCCACTCTTTCGAAATTTCTCGTGCATGTTGAAAGACGCGCGGAGAGGAATCGTTTGGTTCATCCATTCCTTGACCCGGTTCGCTGCAGAGACAGAGATACCCGAGCAGCCGGTGAAATTAATGACAGTCCAGTGAGAATCTCTCGTCTCTCGCGAAAAGAAATAATTAGTCGCCGGAACACCGCCGATGAAGTTCTCATTAACGAGAAGTAACGACTGTACGGATTTTGTTATGTTACGGAACTATATCGCCGGGGGGGAAGTATTAGGGGAAGGACTGATAATTAAAGAACATTCCCTGCGGTTTAATTATTGCAAAAATCCAGGCTGCGATGGATCGCTATCGAATCGATGTTTCTGCGAGGGATGTCAAGAATGATGAAAATAAATGGAGTCGCGAACTTATTTCGTTCGCACTGTACGATTCAAGATAACGATACAAAAACATCCCTGACGCGAAGATTGATAGTCCAAGTTAACCGAAATGGAAAGGATTTTCATTTTTTCAATTTTCCTTTCGAACTTGGGCCTGACGATGCTCGTCTGAACCAGCAAAAAAGTGAAAAATGTCTTGGCGAACTTTACTGGAATTATTTTTATTACATTCCCGATGGTGCGTATTATGCGGCAGCGGGTTGAAGTATGAAAGGTTTCCTGTGTTATTTCTGCTGCATGTGTTTTACGAGCCTTCCACTCGTTCCAAGGCAAATCTCCATCCCTTATCGAACATAAATATGTACTATTTGCAATTTTACATATTCTCCATAGTATTTCTCCCACCTGGAGTGCGTGGATCTATAAAACTCCCAATGCGTTACAGTGAATTTTCCACGGGGTAATTTAAAACTACCATGGATCATGCAGTCTAATATATCATCATGGAATATTTCCTCGAATATCTTTTGTTATTTCTCGATAGATCTCTCTCGTCGCGAATGATCCAAAATATTATTTTCGATCGCGAATCTTCGAGACGGAAGGTTTGTTTAGAGTCACGCGCTATTTTTGAGCGTTGCACCTGAAATTTAAACGCGTATTTTTGTTTCAGCGGGAAAACCTTGGCCGTGTCTGATTGTGTACTAGGAAAACACGTTCCCCGGATGTTTCGACCGTTCTTCCATCGCGACTCTTTCGCAGCGTCCGGTTTCCATTAGCATTTACCTGGCGAGCACGAAACGAGATAAGTGGTATGGGTGCAGTTTCCATTAGACGGGAATAAAATTGGATAGGACGGCTCGTATAGTGTATTCCTCCACGATTTCGTCCTGCGTTCTGTCCGTCCCGTCAATTTCGCGGCCGCTTTCCCACGTGAATAGGGAAACTCGCATATCGCGACGTACAATCTTGCCGTGGTTTACTGCAGCCGCGAGACACCCGGTAAATATATTCCGCGATAAAATAATAGGACATTGTCAGTCATTTGCATTTCACAGCATTAATGAAACGCAAACAGGAACTTGCTTGTTCGAAACAAACGGTATCCTATACGGAATGTTATCGAAACGAGTTTAATATTTGTCGTTTAGACTTAGAAAATTTGTCTGGCTGTTGCTGACTGATTCTACTTATTCGAACCAGTAGCTTTTAATCAGTGTTCCGTGAATTTGTTGCAAGTGTTTCCTGAAACTATGAAGACGGTGTACTAGGTACAGCATATCAGGTTTGCTAGGAAATTGCACTCCAACGAGCTTTAGTGTAAACGCGTCAAGTTTGCAACGCGGACAAGAAACGCAACGAATTACAACTGAAAGGGCTTCAATTAATTTTAATTAACTTGAGTAGCTCAGCAACCCAAATAACAGAATTCCCTGTAACACTAGGCAGCTTTTAACACTGCATTTGGACGAGCAATAAGAAAACGTAAAAAGTATTTTAATTGCTACGAGAGATTCTCAGGCACGACTTTAATAATTTTTAATGTATCGAATAATTGTTTTTATTCGCGTTCCGTGGATGTCGCGTGGCGATACTATTTCGTAACAATTTGAAACGCGCTCGACCATATTAAAGAACGCTCAGAAAATTTCTCGTTACTTAAACGGTCCTGTAAAAAATGCCTACGTCGTTCGCGTAATTTCCCGGCGTGTCGGCTGCGAGATTACAGGAGCTTCGTCGAAAATGGAAGCGGAATCGCGATCATTTTTTACATCGCACCGTGAAGCTTCGCGAGTGATTTCCTAAGGAGAGAAGCTGCAAACTGGCTACGCGAGTCGTGATAAATTCCCATTGAACGTGCAAGAATGGACTCACATCGCTTTCAAGATAATTCGTTTATTGATAATTGACGACACCATGAGCAAAGTTTTACTCGAAGACTCGTGAGAAACAGTACGGACCAAGTGCCGCCCATTTCCGTGCGTGAAAGAGGTTTTGGAAAATAGAACGGGACCTCGAGTAAATTGGAGGGAAATCTTTCTTGTGCTCTGACGAATCGCACTGGAGGAAAGAAATCCTCGAGCCACTTCAGCCTGCGGCCTGTTTTCCGCTGATAAGAAACTCGCGATCTTGCGGATAGATATTGCGGAACAACCGACCGCAAAGAGTTTCATTTTTTGCGGTTAAAACGAAGGAGAGTCCGCTTTTTCTTTGTCCATAGTGGCAATCGGGCCGAATCGACCTTATCCGCGGCCACTTCTTTTAATCCGAACGTTTTACTTAGGAGGCGAATTAAACTCTGACCGCGTCTTTGTCGCGTCCGTTTCTTCGACTTAACAAGCTACTCTCGATCCGTCGATAATATTTCCTTTCCAGGCTCGATGGTTAATTGACCCGGCGTTCCTCGTTTGACGAAACGATCCCTCCCCGTTGTATCACCGTTTCTCATGGAAATTTCAAATCGAAATGTTTATTAGATCGCGAGAGGCGGAACTTTTTTTGCGTTCCAACTGTCCTGGTAATTTGCACCTAGTGTCCCGACTAATTGCTTCTGGATTTTATTAGAGTAGATCTTAAGAGTTGGACGATCCAACTCCAAGGACGTTTTCTCTTGGATTTTCTCTGTTTTGTAATGTCGGAACGACTCGTTCGCGATTGAGGCAGGATGCACGCTGAAACAAGGACTCGATCGAACTAATTGCCGTTAGATTAATATCCCGTTGGTGCCGCGGTGCCGTCGTTTCTGGTGGCAGCCCGTTTTGGTAGTTTGCCAGCCGCGAGTACTATTTCGCGCTCCCGGAACCGGAAACAGCTTTCCGTGCAGCGGGACGATACGTATTCGGATATCACGAAACCGCGAGTCGGAGGTCAGGGAAACGGAACGACTGGCTCCGGCCAGCTAGAGCGGTCCTGAATAAATTAATTAACCACCGAGAGAGCGGATAGAGAGACAGCACGGAGAGGCTGGAGGATATTAAGTCTCCGTTACGGTTCCACACACCGGATGCCCGCCGGTTTGTCACAAAGAAGTCGGCTTACAAATGAACGCGATCAAGAATTCATGGAATATTAATGGCCATCGACGGTGACGATAATCGTGGGGCTCGATGAATTCCAATTCCCGACCGTAGAATCGATGTTCTAACGTTTCAATGAATCCGTCATTGAAAAGTCGGTGTCAGAGTCTTTTTAAAGGATTCGGGCAATGATAATGTTGGACAAAATATTTGTAGGATCGTGTCGAGTATCGTTTACGAAACGATCGTAATTCTTATCGAGTGAAAAGAGGGTGGTTGAAATTTAACGAGAAAGCGATGACCCGTCTTATTACTTGCTCACCGGTAAAGCTACGACGTACATATTAAATATAGCGAAGGCGGTGGCTCGACTTTAGATGGCAGTGCTGAACTTCCCTCGAATAAATTAATTAGCCCCCCTGGAACAGGCGGAGCCGGCGCAAAAGGGCGGAAAGCGATTAAGTCTAGGCGACGTGCCATTCTTGCGGTGCAGGATATCCTGGATACCCTGGTTTGGCACTAAGAAATGAGAAACCAGGATTATTTCAGCCAAGAAACGCGGACCGACTGCTGCGTAACAGAGTCACATCGTTCGTCAGACACGGTGACAATCGTTTCTTTACCTTTATCGAGTTCTCGAACGAAATGATAAAGAAATGGACATTCTTAAAGTTTCGTCTCGCCTTTTTCCGCTACGATTTTTCTGAGGATTAACGTTACAAAATTACGTTGAAACTTTTTCACGGTGCTGTGCATGGAACCAGACTGAACGAAAAAAGCTCGCGATGCGTTTTACGAAAAGGGAGGAAATGGATGCGGGAAGGAACGACTCGGAAATGAGTCGTAATCCCAGAAATCGAAAAACATTTATCGACTTTAGCAACACGACAGGATGGAATTTAGTCTAGATATAACGTTCGCTCACTCACGTCGCAGGCCTGGTCTTCTTCGTCCCACCGGAAACGGCAATTGACCCGTCCATTGCACTGTAAATTCGCGGCGATGCAGGTCGCGTCCTCGCAATAGTACTCGCCGTCGAGGCAGGCTGGAAAAAGGAAACAGAAACGATCGAATAAGAACCTTACACGCCCGTAATTCCAAATCATCGTTTAAGTTCTCTGGCGCCGTCTACGTTCCAGCAAACGTGATTCGACGTTTTCGCGAATTAACTTCATTTTTACGCTCGGGGAAAATATTCACACAGATTATTTCAGTCGTAATTACAATGGTAAATCGTACGGTGATTTTTTAAGCTTTCTCTGCAAAGTGACTTCCATGCTTGGAACTTTGCAGATTACTTCGTAACGAGCTGTTAAATGCCGCATTGCAGCTCGTTTCCGGTAATCGATTAGAGTCCTCTATTACGCGGGCACTCGTGAATTCAAGGTTGCAAGCAGTTTGTTACGTGGTTATCTATGGCCGAGGCTAAGAACTTCGATACGTCGATCTACAACAAATTTAACGCTAGATTTACGGACATTGATTGCACGTATTTTCATCGAAATTGAGTACAAGTGGATTGGCCACGTACGTGGCAATATATTAGTTTCGGTGGCAGGTGCGGAAAGTTGGGAATTCTTCCAGCATCGAGATATAGCAGGGAATTCTGTACGCGTAACCGCATCACGGCTTACTCCAATTTACCATTCGGCCAAGGGCTCCGCCGCCATTAATATAGAATTCGAATCGTTTAACGACCGATTATTCCCTTTACTACGTACCGGTTAAACAGATTATCTCTTTTCGCCGATATCGTTGTAATTATCTGCTTAAACGTTCGGACAAAGTGGAAGTCGGATCGAAATCGGTCCAGCTATCAACCGATAGCCTTCAACGAGCGATTCGATCGTTACTCTTTTAACGATCTGGGGATTTTTGCGGGATCGAAACACGAAGAATTCGAAAGTCAATCTCATCCCGGTCGAAAAATGGGATTCCGTCGGACGTTTTTTTACACGCGGGAAACAAAACCTTCGACCGGCTGTGGAATTCGAATCGCTATCGATGGCAAGGATTCCAATCGAATCGAAATATTGTATTGCCCGTAATAGGTTTTGGAATTCATTTAGAATATATTGGGGAATTCTTCGTTTAGAATCAGGCATCAATTTGGCGTGGAATGATCGTTACACAAATTCCATGAGCGGTTTAATGTTTCATATTTTGTTTCCCGCGACGAGATAGTCATTCGAAGCACGTCGCGAGGAAAATATGGTCGACGGAATCCTATTTTACCGATCGATGGAGATTGATATTCGATCTTACCCGAGTTTAAGGGATAAACGTACCCGGTAATCGATACGTCGAGAAAACTGTAAGACAATATTGTGCTGGGGAACGTTTACATTTTATTTTAATACCCAAGAGTTTCGATTTACTTTTCTGCCCAGCGAAAGATAAACAAAAAGAACAACCAACGGGTTGATACACTGTCCGCGTTCCCTCGCAGTAGAACCAACAAGAAAATTTAAACTTTCTTTAACGTCGTGGCAAGCCGATATCGCCGCAAGGCGTACTGTCCGACTCCTTTGACGTAACAAACTTTCTTTTTCTATTCAATTTACCCGCGCGACACTTTAACCGGTGTCTAACGGATGTCTTTCAGCCGACCAAAGCAACCCTGGGCGTTTACTACTTCACTAAAAGTACGAGAAACGTTTAACGACCAGTTTGTCGTAGCAATTTACGATTTCGAATAACCAGGAGTTAACGATGCACTGTCTTACGCATTTAGAGATCTACTTACGCAACTTTCGTCCAGTAGAAAGTAAAAAGAATAACGAAGAACGTTCGCTTCGCTGATGGATACGTCGATATCGGTTAGACGAATAAAGTGGTTAATTAATCTGGTTGAAAACTTGTTCGTCGCGATCGGGGCACGCGAGCAGAAGATACGGAATTAAACGCAGACAAATCTGATTATAATTTTTTGAACGATTCCGAGCGCGATAATAGGCTACGCACTAGTAATTGGCGAACAGGAAAGTTTAATTTCCATTAGGCCGTCACGCTAGAGGAATATCGCCGAAGTCTTTGTTCCCTCCACGTCCGCAATTTCGATGTTAAGTTTCATTAAAGTTAACACTGGCGTGCCGGGTTCCACCGAAACCGTTTCGCCCCTCGGGGATAGAGAGATACGATCTAATGGAAATCAACTAAATTAACGGCGCGCCGCGTGTTTTTACAGTAATTGGAAATAAAAGTAACCGGAATGACTGATCCCCCGGCAATTAGGAAATTGCCAGACTAATCACCGGAAAAGACAGAGGGTTATTATTCATCGGCGGGACCCGGCCCGCGAATCAGTGGAACATTAACAACGCGAACGGTCCATTATTCAGAATAACTTGGAATCGCTGTTCCCCTGAACGGTTCCGCAGTAGAACGCTCGTACCGAGGAATTAACGAAATCCTACTGCTTGAGATATTTTATCTCGTTGCAACCGGGAGTTTAAATATACGCTACTCGAGCTCCGTAAACGTTAAGTTTCGTATCTAAAACCCATCGAATCGACATGTTTCGTAAATCTAGCGTTAAAAAGAAACGATCTCGATGTTCGACGCTACCCATAGAGTCCACCCTCTCGATTGGAAGTCGTCTGGTGATCGTTAATTCGAGGAACGCGCTCGCATCGGGACGGAATATTGTACCCAAGCGTTAAAAATGACGTCTTCGACGATATCGAATGGAAGCTGAACAATTAATGGACTATGTATGCGCACTCACGTTTGTCACCCGGGTCTCTGTCCCTGAAGGCTGTCATGACGGCCTCGAAGCTGCTGTTCAACGCTTTCGGTTCGGCGTAAAACCTGACAAAGGCGATATTGGTCATGATGAGGACGGTGTCGGCGATGCTGCCGCAGAAATTCTTCTCTCTCGAGGACATGTCGGTGCGTTCTTTGAATATGTCCACGAAGTTGGCGTCGCACTCGTTCGGTCGTTGCAGCTTGAAGGGATCCGAGAACGTCAGCAGAATCTGAAAATTGTACGTGTTTCCGCGATGAATGCCTAGGGGACTCTTTCCCGACGCTTAACGGCGCACCGTCAAAGGATTCGTACCAATTAGGACGGCGCGTTTTACGGGGAAAACGAACCGAAACGTCACGGTCGTCGACATTTTTACGTCGGATAGGATTTCGTTTGCGAAACCAGGACGAATGATCCCGAAATGGGAGGGTCGGGGTACAGGGATTAAAGACATTCCCAGCGAAAGGATGCGTCGTGGAGTCTTTGAGCGACCTCGTTAGAAATACACGTCTCGTGGACGTTCGCTCTTCCCTTAATTGTCGAAAATCCAGGCGTCATCAACGCGGTATCCGCCGACACGAACAGAGAGGAGACTAAAAGCTCCATTGGACGAGATGCTCTGTTGCGGGACATTGACTGGCATCCCATAGAATAGTGATTCTCAATGGGAGCTCCATGGACCTTTCAATCTAGACCCGTTATTGAAGTTTCCAGCAATTTATAGCGAACGTGATAGCCGGCTGACCGTTGTTCTTCGATGAAAAATTGGGGTTCCGTGGACCGAGGAGGTCCAATCTAGTCAAAAAGAAGCCCTATTTGTGAATTTTTTTCAAAGGAACCACGTGGACGTTTTGATACGAGGATTTTGCTCGGTGCTTTGTGTTCATCTTTAGAGAACGCTTCATAAAACTACAACTCGCCCTGGTTAATTTCAATATCATCCAGAGGAAAATTATCTACAACAATTTGTGTGCTAATATACGCGCGGATGCCTCAACATCGCTGTAAATTGTTCTTGAAGAGGATGTGCAATAAGGACGAAACCTCGGTGCAACTACGAACGTACATCATAGACATACTGTGAACGTTCTGACAGTTAACACAGTGTAAACATTCTGATAGAACTATGCGGTAGCTTCTCCTTTATGTGTAGAATGTCAAATAGTTATTTCATCAAGTCCATTGCTTTGTAAATCACGCTCAAACTAACGCCGTATCCCTCGTCCCTGCGTTTCCTGTGTCCTCAGGGTCCTATTCTATCGTTTGTTTTCACACGACCACATTGTTTCGCCTAATCGACGCGACTAAGTAAACAATTAAAATAATTAATTGCGTATGTACCGAGATAGATGCTTAGAGGCGCCCGACGCAAGTAGAAATATCGAGGTATGGTCAGACGCGTTGAGCGAGTCACACGATCACAGACCGATGCTTCGAATTTAAGCTGCTTTCGCTTCATTGATACGAATAAATAAATAATTTCGTATATACCAAGATGCTTAGAATCGCCAAATGCCGAATGGATGAATTTTCAACATTAATTATTCCGAAAATGGAGACTTGTATGGGAAAACTTTACTCTATCTTTTCGATTCATTTTCTTATACAGAACGACGGTATTGTTGCTCGTAGCACCAATTATTTTTAATAGTTGAACGTTTTAGGAATCTGTTTTGAGACGTCAAATGATATATACATATTTCACTCTCACCTTCCATCCATCCTTAACCGTGATGTTCCACATGCAGTCCAACGGGATGCCTTCCTTCTCGGAGAGTTTCTTCCTGTCCAGGACGTCGTCGCTGTTAATAATCGCCTCCTTGCCACCCACGTGTATCACACACGGCTCCGGTTCTGGTGGAACTCCCGCTGGAAATCATGCTTGTTAGGGTGTCGTCCCGTAGCTGTAAGCCTTGCCGCGAAAACTCATTAAGAAGCTTGGAAACGGTCGGGTTATGAATCTGCGCGTATTGAAATGACCGACGCTGTACGACGAGCAGAAGGATGCAAAAATGAGACACGTTCGCCACGATATATGATTGAAAACGAGTCGATGACTGCGTTTATACAAAGTGATTCTAGTAATTGAGCTAGAAGTCGACGCTGAGCGACGGTAATGCAGAAGGGCGCCCGCGGAAAGAAACAAAAAATTCCAGGAGGGGGGCCCACTGTTAGCGGCATAATTAATTTCTCGTTCCCGTTTTGAATTGCCGTTGTAAAGTTCCTCGGCACGGCGATGCACAATAAAAGCGCAGGAAATTAATCAACCGCGAAAACAGATTCGACCCTCGTCCGATTCATTTCCTCTTTTATCGTAACATTGTTCCATCGCCCGCGGCTAGCGCGAGATGAGCCACGCCGCGAGCGATTGTTTTCATACCGAAGACAGTACACGTATGCATTAAAATAACATATAAAAACGGAAAAACGATTTTTTTTTTTCATTTTAAACCCAGTCTTCTACGCGTCTCACCTTTCGATCAGCTTTTGCACAGTGGTAGGCGTTGACGTTTTTGAGATATTCGAGATTAAAATTCCTTCGACGTTATTTTGACGTATTACAACTACTACTATCGCGTTGAAAGTTAATAGGAAAGGGTGTAGCTGCACGGTATTGGAATCACAAGCGTGTCAATATTTTTTCGAGGAAGAAATTTCCATTCACGTTCTTTTATTTCCTCCAACTGCACAAGTGATTCTTGTAACGAACCGCTTACAAAGTGTTCTACCAGTCTTGAGGCGCGATTGATTTGCATTTCGACGGGGAGGGGTGCCGTGGAACGTATTCAATTGTTAAAAGAGAACGGTCACGTTGCATTTTACAACGCAGACTTCGCGACATCAAAAATTCCTTTCAACCGTCGACGCTCCTCGCGATAGAAAAGGGCACTGTTATCGAGTTCGAATTTTATATCGAGGAGTTTTGCATCTGGGCGGGTTCCTGCTGTCTCATGAACGACTTTTCCATCCGGAATATTTTACAACGTCGACGAACAGCGGCGAAAATGAAGCCTTGTCGTCGAGACGACAGAGACCGCGCTTGTTTTCAACGTTATTTGTAGCTTCAATTTGCCATCGGTCGATGTTTAAAAAACAGAATAAAATATCTTTCGCCGCGATCCCTGGTGGATTGGAAGGTTCCCAACGTTCGCCGCCATTGGGGCTAACGTCCGGATGGGAATTCTAATCCGAGAGCCACTCGACGCCGACTACTTTTGTTTTAACACGCCTCGAATCACGATTTTGACCGTAATACATTAACCCATCTCATAAAACAGTGTAGGAGCATTCTATTTCTTGAAAAGAAAATTATTAATTATCGATATTGTACGAGACTTTTTCTAAAAATTTCGTTATTTTTATTTTTGCGAACGTTTTCGACGAGACAGAATATTTTGTCAGGCGGAAGTGTCGCAGCTAGAGCTTTTATTTTATTAGGTCATACATGAAACAGTCCATTCAACGAAAGCATTTTTTCGGAATTTTATAACTGGACAGTGCTTTCAAATGATTTTTATCGTTCAGCAATTTATAGATTGAAACTAGCTGGACGTGTTACGATAAATATTTTGTAAATTCTTCCTACGCAAAATGACAGATGGTAATTCAAACGATGGACACCACACTTGATACTAAAATTTGTACGTTTTAATTGCCAGCGTGAAATAATTTCAAGACCAATTATCGTTCGAAGGGCGAACGACCGAATATTTTTTCGGCAACGAGCTAGGAAATCACGCGCCCGACGGTTATCCGACAAAATGATGATCGAATATATCACGCAGGTCGAACAATTAACGAGCCTCGCGGCGGTCCAAAGACGAGGCGCCGCTGAAAGGAGATCTATCAAGCAGCTCGATGGCTCTTGCCGCGGGTGGATCCCGTGTATTCATAGCCTTCCCCTGTTCTTCCCGCTGACTATGAATTAATTTTGGCTTCCGTTCGCGCTTGCACCGCTCCGGCCACGCGGATCATCCATTCCCGAAGTGTCTCGTAATTTCTCGACCAAGACAAGGACCACCAACCAACGACCATACAGTTATTCCCCGTGGAACGTTAACAACGATCGCGTTCGTTATCCCCGGAAGTATGCCAATCGCGCCCGATCGCTATACCACGTCACTTTTGCATGTAACAATGTAACCGTACGCGGTATCGCCGAATCCAATTATTCCTGCTATTTCCTATAATGAAGTGTAACCGAATCTCGAGCTTGAATATTCGTTAACGTTGCTCGTATGTTTTCTAAGGGTAAATAACGCATACACGTAACGCGTAACGCTTCGACGAACCTCGCGCTTCGGAAGACCGATAATTTCAAGTGCAAAACAATCTCCACAAATTAATACTTCGTTCGAACCAATAATTTGACATTCTATTATTTCCCCTATCGAAAACGGGCACTTTAAATATAATTGCGATAAAAGATTATACGCAAAATCTCGTTTGGACCAACGACGCGTGTCTCGCATCCGATCTACCGTCGCGTTGTTCGTCGAATAGTTACGACGGCGCGAATTCTCGTACGGAACGAAGCTCGAAAATCTCGCATACCGTAGCAAACGTGACGGAGTGGAAGAAGGATCGTAATTCCGTGGACTTACGATAGGTCGGTCTCGGTATCATGCTCCAGACGGCCTTGAAGCCCTTGCCTTCGATACTATCGTCGCTGTGGAATCGTAGCCAGAGGTATCTCGTCTTCGACGTGATCTCTGGGGGGAAATTCGTGCCGCAGAAGTTGCCGAGGAGATTGGAGTAGCCGTGCTGGCCGTCACGTACCTCGAGGAAATCGTAACGGCAGTCGGCGCTCTCCTCGAGCTTGAACTCGTCCCGAAAGTCGAGCTTCAACAGCATATCTTTGTCAGCTGAAACGAGAATGGGAAAACGGCGACGTTAGTGACTGCGGACGAAACGAATCACAAAGGTGTCGTCCCGCCAAAATTGGGTCCTCGACTTACAATACAAGGGGGACCGAAAAACAAACGTTTTGCCGCGAATTTTTGTAGTTTTATGTATTTTAATAAATACAAGAGGATCGAAATGAGGGAAATATACTTTTCGAAGTATATTTCGCCCACCTTTGATTTGACCACGATTCCAAAAAATTACATTTCGTTCTGTATCGGTTAATAAATTCCCGAGCTGCCTGCAGGACATCCAGCCACAGGCGAGTCTGTTACGTAGTTGAAAACGGACTCGTATACGCGGAGCCTTTGGATCAGTGACCCACGAAGTTTGCCTGACGGGTCAATTCGGTCCTTTCATCAAGTTTATCAAGCCCGAAAAGTTTTCTGATGGCTTGTTGGCATCGACGTACCAAATTCGAAAGTACAACTGAAAATTACCCATGTCAAAAATTCCAAATTAAAACCAGAGGTTACCGTTTCTCTAAAATATGATTTCCAATTATTATTTAAATACTTTGGACGACGCATCGAGGGCCAATAAATGGTTCGATTCTTAAATCGCAGGTTTGATATCACCGATGTTTTCTTTTTTAACCGTAACAAAGTGACATTACTGTTTCCATCTGTGTCCAAGAGGTATATTTTATAGAGAGAAATTATTCGACGAAAATTCGCCTATGGTTTCGCTTGGATCGACGGCCCCTGAATCGGAAACAGCGGTACGTCGGAAGCAACATTCCTGGCCCGTATTTCCAAGAAAAACAATCTCGTGCGCAGGACACACATTGTTCGAATCCCTGTGCAAGAATGTGCCCGGGATCGGTCGGGTTACACGACAAATATTCTGATGTCGTTAGCCTCGAAAGTCTCTCTGGCATATGGCCAGGTTGTTCGTCGTAGTCATCGCGCGATTCCTTTTTTTTTTTCGGAACGCTTCTCGTCCAAGTACGCGAGCTCGCCGACCCTCCATACCTTATCATTCGATAGTGGGACAAAATTCTTCCGTTTTACAAATCGTAAAAATGATACAAGAAAATGTATGCACGAAAAAATCGATGCTTCGAATAGCTTTTCTTGGTAAAGGATCTCGATGTATGCGGTTCGAGAAATGTACACAGTCCTTAGCGCGCGATAAAGTGTATGTTTAGGTATGTAAAGTGTGTGGACGATAGGGAGGGGCGAAAGTGGCGTTCGATGTCGGTTTTCTCGTTCGACAAATCGAAATCGATGCTCTCTTATCTGACGCGTCCCCTTCCACGTGTGGCGGAATATGAACGCGCGATTTGGAAAAATCCACGGGGCTACATGGCGATGTCACCCCCCTCGACGAGCGTAAATCCCGGCGATACCCGTTGCAATCTATAATGAGGCACTTGGGATGCAAACGGACCCTGGCTTTCTCCGCACGTACGAAGATTATCCACGAATTATTCAGCGCGATTCGATCGTTAGAATTCACTTTATCTTCTCGACGCGGCGGTCGATCTCTTCACCGCTCTATCCGCGCGATAATATTTTTTCTGCCCTCGAAAACGTTAACGCTAAATTCCGTTAAGAAAACCTAGGTGCATCGACGCTTGTATCGTTCTGTATTTTTTAGAGTTTCCCGATAACATTTTAAAGTAACAGAAAATTGACGGCGAAGCGTGTTTCGAGCGTGTCTGATCGTGGTTTTCTGATTCCACTTGCTCCAGTTTATTTTCATTCCATCCGAGCACGCGTGTCCTTCGGGACGAAAACGGGACCGTGACTCGCGTGGGTCGATCACGGATCATGTGCCAAACTTTCATTCATAGCTCGGCAAAAATACATGCGCTGGTCGCGATACACGTGGAAAATAATCGCGTTTCCGCGGACACCACATTCCTGTCTATGCGTCGCACTAAGAAACGTCATTCGTTTGAATCAGCGACGAGCAATTCGCGCTAAAGTATCGGGCAATCCATCGACGAGAATCTTCATTTCGCGCGACAGGTATTAATCGTGGGTGGCGTTGGCGCGGCTTTAATCGCCACCGAAATAGACGGTCTATTTTCTCGAGTGTGTTTAATCGCGGTAACCGGTAAAAACAAACACGCGGCCCGATAATCGACGGTAATTTCCAGTCAATATTTTTCTTCCTATAGCGAGCATAGAGCCCCGCGTAAATCTTCGCCGAGCACGCGAACGGTTATGCAAACGCTATATTTCATTCGCAAATACTGGAATATTCACGACGTCAAACGTGTCTATTAGTCTCGGTTTATTACATTGGGAAAGTCAATTCTCCAGTTAGTCAGAGAAATCAAACGTGATTTTCATCTTTTTCCTCTACTTGCTTTTGAAAAAGGGAGTTCACTTATTTTATCGACAGGTGTATTTTTCTTGGAAACAGACGCAACGTAGAATTTTTTGACAGATAGCTAGTGAAGTGTTTATTCTTTTGTCTCGATGATATAAGGCTTGTTTACGCTGGCACAACATTTTTATGCGGAATGTAGCTTGGTATCCTTTAAAAGAACGGCTTTAATGGGCAGCGTGTACGAAAGCGCCCGGCGGATTGAGCTTTGCTGCGCGTTGTCGGAAACAACATGAAAGGAAGTTGGCGCTTCCGTGTATCCACATTTCAAAGCAAACAAACGCGTCTTTTTATGCTAGTTGTTCGTTTTCGAGTAGGTTTAAGTGTAAAATCGACTTCCACAAAAGCTCGAAAAGCACCCCTCATTACTTCTATTACCTCTAGTGTGTTAACGAATAAAACGATCGACGAGAAGAAGAGATTTTTTTCTGTCCACCATTAAAAACGTTTAACTCGATTCAAATCACCAGCGTTCCGGTCGTTCCTCTCTACTCTTATTTTTATTTTCGTTTCGATCGATTATATGATCGCACACCAGGAAACTTTCAAGTTACAATATCCATCGGGCGCATCGCGACGCATATTTGTTAGCATCTCTGTGTGTACATGGAAAACCGGGGAAACGCAGGACTGAATATCTGCATGTTGGCATCAGCATTCATTACTTTCACATTTCAACGCATCACGTATACGCGAACGACGTTTTTCATCGATTCCGGTAAATGCACGCACGGTAAAATTCATATTTTAATCATGAATTTTCTTCTTTGAAAAATTAATGCGCGTCGAAACCAAACGCTTTTCAACGCGCGTTTTTAAATCATATTTTTTGATGGAAATGATGTTTTCCCCGGGAATAATCCTACTAAAATGGTATGGTATATCTCTTTCAATTTAAACAAACTTTCTTCGTAGAAAAAATACAAATGCGATTTGATTTGGTACGTTCAACGAGAGCCACGTCGCTATCTGAAACTTCCAATGGCGTGAAACTACTGTTACACGTTTCAGTTTGCTCTTCTGGAAGCGTGTTTGAAATTCCTGAAGTATTAGGCAAACGATTACACTTTAATCGACAACCAGTGCAAATGTAGTCCCTCAACTCGAGGTTTGGACCGGTCCTTTGCAATTTATACCGAAATACTAATCGAGTATCGGTGTTGCACTAGCGGAGCAGCATCTCCTTCGTCAATTAAGGATCGAAATCTGTTTTATGGCGACGGACAACAGCGATAAGAAAGTCTGACGGAAATGGCGACCGGGTAGCCGTCGCAGGACTTTCCGTTTCGATCGAGGATGTCGTTTCGAGCAGCGCGAAGAACGTCGTCGACGTCTCTTGGGCGAACCAAGGTTCTCTTCGTTTGGCGAACGACATTTGAATAGAGGGTCTCAAGACGCTTCGAGCTTCTCGTTTAGTGAAACCGCGTTTTTTGAGGCGAACTGCGGAAAAGCCGGTAAAGGAGAGGACGAGCTCGTGAAAAAAGGAGAAACGAACGTCCCCGTCGCGACCATTTCCTCGGAAGAAGAGAGGAAATTCCAAAGAGTCGGCAATCCCGCTGTCCGCCCCCGCATAGAAATACCACTATTCCGGTGTTTGAACGGTCGATCGAGTTTTTCGGCGTATTCGAAGCGTCTTCTTTCCGCCCTTTCACGCTTCGTTATCCCCCGATTGTGCCCTCTTCCACCCGGTACTCATAATCGCCGCAAAATTAAGAATTCCTCTCGAAGGACTTCCAGATTCCTCGCCGCGATCGCGATTTATTTATTTCCTCGAATTGCGAACGAAGACGAGGATCGACTCTGCACAGAAGATCTTTCAAAAGGCAACAGAACTTTCAGAGAATGTTGTAGCTGACAAGAAAATAGAGGAAATATGTTTCTCAGAAATTTAGAAAAATTCTAATCGTACAATTTGTATTCTTGCGTCGTCCGTGATTTCGTAAGGGTGGCGAGAGAGGAGCAGCGTAAGAAACGCGTCGCGGTATGTCGTTGCGTAAGAAACAAGGTTTGCGTCGACGGGGCGCGAGGTTATTATCGCGACGCGACGAACGTTTACACGGAACTGCAAAGTCAGAAATTTCAAGCGAGAACGGTTAATATCCATCCCCAAGTTCAGGCTCCCGTCCTCATCGGTGTCTACCGTGAACTTTCACGACGCTCGAGCCATCCTCAGAGCACTGCTTACGTAAGGAATAGCTTCCGTCGCGGGGGAAGTTCGCCCCAGCCGCGAGATTCAACGCGCAAGCATTCGCGCGAGTCCACGATATTAGCGTGCCACGGTTTCACCCTCGAGTCCCCCGAGACTCATCCGTCTCGGAATTGAGCCACTTTCTGTCGACTATCGGTCTTCGTAGTTCGCATGGTAACGACTAGCGTGCTTTAATAAAGCCATCGGGTTCTCAACGATGTTCCAACTACCGTCCTCCTTTCATCCGTCGCCACTCTTCGTCGCCCTCTAACCCTCGATCCAAACCATCAGTCTACAACGCTTCGACTGCCTAATGTACAATTGTCTAGAATCAAAGTTTTTAATGGACCGTCACGTAGCCCGCGAGAACGTATTTTTACCCTCTTTAACCGCTGCTTCTCGAAACTTATCGCGTAAATTCCAAGGTGATTC